CAAGCTGGTTGCATTGACAGGAAAATATCCATTAACTTGAAATCCCTGCAACAAAAGTTATAAATTTCTAATTACTTTTCATTTCAATTACTGGATATGAATCAGTCCAGTTAAACCCTGTACCTGGATAAGTATCTGTCCAGTTTAACCCTGTACCTGGATTAGTATCTGTCCAGTTAAACCCTGTACCTGGATTACTATCTGTCCAGTTTAACTCTGTACCTGGATTAGTATCTCTCCAGTTTAATCCTATATCTAGATAAGTATCTCTACAGTTTAACCCTGTACCTGGATTAATATACCTATCCAGTTCAACCCTGTACCTGGATTAATATATCTATCCAATTCAACCCTGTACCTGGATTAGTATATGTGTCCAGTTCAATCGTATACCTGGATTAGTAACTGTCTAGTTCAACCCTGTATTATCCTATGCTAGTATACTATCTTTATTATCTATGTTTTGCTTATCTATTATCAATGTTTCTGTTTGACCCTCACCGGCCCGTCCGGTCAGCCCATATATACCTGTATCAATAAATTAGTATAGTATCAATCGTTGTTTTAGACAGACGTATAGAGCCAGGGTTTTGGCTAGAGTTTTTGGTCGGGAAGACTGAGCATAAGAGTTAGAGTCAAGTATTGGGAGATTGATCAGGACCAAGATTGTTACATATCTGCCCAGTTCAATCATATACCTGGATTAGTATCTGTCCAGTTCAATCATATACCTGGATTATTATATCTGTCCAGTTCAATCATATACCTGGATTAGTATCTGTCCAGTTCAATCGTATACCTGGATTAGTATCTGTCTAGTTCAACCCTGTACCTGGATTAGTATATCTGTCCAGTTCAACCCTGTATATGGATTAGTATATCTGTCCAGTTCAATCGTAAACCAGGATTAGTATCTGTCCAGTTCAATCATATACCTGGATTAGTATCTGTCCAGTTCAATCCTATACCTGGATTAGTATCTGTTAGTTCAAAACTAAACATGGATTAGTATCTCTCCAGTTCAATCCTTTGCCTGGATTAGTACCTGTCTAGTTCAACCCTGTATCTGGATTAGTATCTGTCTAGTTCAATCCTTTACCTGGATTAGTATCATTCCAGTTCAATCCTACACCTTGATTAGTATCATTCCAGTTCAATCCTATACCTGGATTAGTATCTGTCCATATCAACCCTATATACCTGGATTAGTATTTCTCCAGTTCAATCCTATACCTGGATTAGTATCTGTCCAGTTTCACCCTATACCTGAATTAGTATTTCTCTAGCTCAATCCTATACCTAGATTAGTATCTCTCCAGTTCAATCCCATACCTGGATTAGCTTTTGAATATCAGGACAAAGTCCAAATTGATTTGAGGTGATCCAAACCCACTCCATTAATATATAGGGGATAAACTTGGTCTACGATGCGATAAAAACTGTTAAGAAAATACAGTTTCATATCTCCACAGACACAGTCCGTTAACAATGTGATTAAAGTATTTAAACATGTTTAATAAAAATCAGTTTGGATCAGTATAGGCCGGACAGAACCTTTTCTAAAGCTACTAATAATGCCAATTCAATGAAAACTTTTGAAAATTAAGGATAAAGAATAAAACTACCTTCTAATGTCATACAAGGCTTGGTGCGACAAGCGGAATTGAAAATTGAATAGTCATTCTTTGGCAGCTTCAGGAAGGTTTTCCTATGGCCCTTAATGGAATTAGAAACCCTAGCTTTAATACATAAAATCCAACAAAAAAATGAAAATGGTTTAACACATATAAGAAGTTTCGAAAAAATTGAAAAAGTTCCAAATCAATTAATTATCAGTTTTTAAATTTCCTTTGTTTCAGTGTTTAAAAACGGTATCAAAGCCTGAAAAAAAAAGAAAATTGTTTGGTCTGCAAATCAAAGACATGGATGAAAAATGGTTGATATTATTCGCATTTCAGCTTTATATGATCCCAGATTCAGAATGATTTTTCTTAAATTCCTCCATCCTTCTAGACTTATTTGTTAGGGCTGGGAATCTCCTTCTTTCTAGACTTATTAGTTAAGGCTGAGAACCTACTTCTTTCTAGACTTATTTGTTAGGGCTGGGAACCCCCTTCTTTCTAGACTTATTTGTTTGGGCTGGGAACCTACTTCTTTCTAGACTTATTTGTTAGGGCTGGGAACCTCCTTCTTTCTAAACTTATTTGTTAGGGCTGGGAACCCCCTTCTTTCTAGACTTATTTGTTAGGGCTGGGAACCTCCTTCTTTCTAGACTTATTTGTTAGGGCTGGGAACCTCCTTCTTTCTAGACTTATTTGATCATTGAAGTACACTTTGACCCCTAGAAGTATGAGTTCGCGGAATGTACAATTCTTGGTGATTTTGCGTACATAAGCTATCTATGTTTATTTATTTATCTATGCTTAAATATGGTTGGTGCCTCTTAGAATTGTATTCAATGTTTCAAGATTTAAGCCGGCGCTCAATTGAAACCGGTTTTTGACGGATTTGAGACGCGGCTATAATTCATAAAATAATCGTTCCTCACTTAGAATGATAAAAATTCAACTTTCCTTTTCTGTTAATCAAATTCAAGCATACCTCAAAATTTATTCAACATAAATAATGTATGTTTGGGCTAACAAAAGTAAGTTGTTTTAGTTAAAAACAAAAGATAACTTTATTCGCCTTTGTGTTAATTATTGACTTAACAATATAGGCCTGTGCAATTTAACGTTGAAATTCGTTGATTTTGAATATATGTGGCCTAATATAACCATGAATTCAAATACTAAGAATCTTACATTAGATGGTATTAAAATCTAGTGAAAAGTTCTTAGTATTTAAATTCACTGTTATATAAGGCTTAAAAAATAAACAACTGTCACCGTTCACGGCAAATGGCCCAAGCTTGCCTATTAACAAACCGTTAAAGAATTAGAAAAGAACAACTTCCGATCCTTCAATATCCATGTAAAGGAAATTGTACCTTACATTCCGATCCTTCAATATCCATTTAAATGAAATTTTATCTTAAATTCCGATCCTTCAATATCCATTTAAAAGAAATAATACCTTACATTCCGATCCTTCAATAACCCTTTAAAGGAAATTTTATCTTAAATTCCGATCCTTCAATATCCATGTAGAGGAAATTATACCTTACATTCCGATCCTTCAATATCCATTTAAAGGAAATTGTACCTTACATTCCGATTATTCAAAATCCATTTAAAGGAAATTTAACTTACATTCTGATCCGTCAATATCCATTTAAAGGAAATTTTATCTTACATTCAGATCCGTCAATCTCCATTTAAAGGAAATAATACCTTACATTCCGATTCTTCAATATCCATTTGAAGGAAATTGTACATTATCTGATCCTTCAGTATCCATTTAAAGGAAATTTAACTTACATTCCGATCCTTTAATATTCATTTAAAGGAAAGTTTATCTTACATTCCGATCCGTCAATGTCCATTTAAAGGAAATTTTATCTTACATTCTGATCCTTCAATATCCATGTAAAGGAAATTATACCTTACATTCCGATCCGTTAATGTCCATTTGAAGGAAATTTAACTTACATTCTGATCCTTCAATATCCATTTGAAGGAAATTTTACTCCCATCCCGATCCTTTAATATATAACGGAAATAATACCTTACATTCGGATCCTTCAATATCCATTTAACGGAAATAATACCTTACATTCGGATCCTTCAATATCCATTTTAACTACAACAGTATCAGTGTTCACTACTTCTAGGAGTTCATTAAATGTTATAGAATCAACTCCCTCTCCTATTAGATTCCTCTAAAAAGAATATTATTATCTAAAAATAATTAGTTTTATATCAAAATATTTTCTGAAAGGAAAACTTTAAGACTGTTTAATTGAAGTAAACCTAAACACAACTTTCATTTTTACACAATTATCGATTTTACAACTGGAGGATCATTTTTAACATTCGGTCATTAGCTATTGCATATTTAGTCATTACCTTGAAAATAAAATAAAAATAAACTTACTGGTTTTGTTTTTGAATCTTCCTCAGATAGAAAAACAGTTCCACCTTTAAAACAGAAATCTATTTCAATGTTGAAGAAAAACTTAAATCCATCAAAATTAAGAACTTATTAATTAAATATTTAACAACACGGACAATTGGGCCTTTTAAAAAATATTAAAGGACTTGAGTTTTGACTACAAATCCCTATATCTTTGCAAACGGACTAGTAGATAATATCCATAATGTTTTTACCTTATTGTATGAGGTACAAACCGGACATTGTCCTCAGTGCCTTGTAAAACTGTACTTAGTCTATAATCCATAATAAAACAAATTTATTCTAACATTTCATGGTTTTTTTTGCATATTTAATGCTTCAAATTAAATCTCAACAATAACAAAATTGATTTTTTACTAATGATTAATTTTTAGGAATTTTAATTAATACACAATAGTCATATATTTTTATTTTAAAGTTTTTTTGGAAAGTTTATAAATTTATAGCAGATTAAAACCATTAAGATGTTGTATTTAGCGTGTTTATTTTAGACCGATTTCTTTCAAGACTTTCAAGAAAAAATGAGAAACCCGAAAATGAGAATCCCAAAAATTAGAATCCCCAAAATTAGAATCCCAAAAATGAGAAATCCCGAAAATCAAAAATGAAATTAAGTTCCGAATCTTTTTCAATGTTATATAAACTCGTCTATGTTCCCAAACATGTTTACGATTTTAAACTTTTCCCCAAACCATCTATGCAACATGTATTTATTGTAGGCCTAAAATGCTAAAATGTTTCCAAAATTCATTTTTTTAAATGATACAATATTTCTAACTGAAGTGCCCGGCGTTACTCGTTGAATTTGATTTTTGAAAATACTATAAAAATAGATTTTGATTTAAAAAATTAGGGTACTCCTAGTCCTGGGTTCCCTCAAAAAATTGTTTAAATGGGAAAAGAAGTAAATTTTGTTTGCTAAATCCCTGATGAACGCTAGATTTGTTTTAAATGGGTCAACTGCTAATACTCTAAAAGAAAAAAAAAATTTTTTTTAGCACTATATTGTACTGTAGTGTACTATACTGTACTTATGCAGTATATTTAAGTTAAGAAACCTGGCGTACTTTGCACTGCAGTGTTCTACCGTACTGCGCTGTGCAGTGTTCCACAGTACTGTACTGTGCAGTGTTCTACAGTACTGTACTGTGCAGTGTTCTACAGTACTGTACTGTGCAGTTTTATACAGTACTGTACAGTGCAATGTTCTACATTACTAAACTGTGTAGTGTTCCAAAGTACTGTACTGTGTAGTGTTCTACAGTACTGTACTGTGCAGTGTTCTACAGTACTGTACTGTGCAGTGTTCCACAGTACTGTACTGTGTAGTGTTCTACAGTACTGTACTGTGCAGTGTTCCACAGTACTGTACTGTGTAGTGTTCTACAGTACTGTAATGTGCAGCGTTCCACAGTACTGTACTGTGTAGTGTTATACAGTACTGTACTGTGCAGTGTTCTACAGTACTGTATTGTGTAGTGTTTTACAATGCTGTACTGTGCAGTGTTCTACAGTACTGTACTGTGCACTGTGCAGTGTTCCGCAGCACTGAACTTTAAAGTATTCTCCAGCACTAAACTGTAGCACATGACACTGTACTGTACCTTACTGTACTTTACTGTACTATTTTGTCTGTATTGTGCTCTACAGGCCGCCAATAAAAAAAAGAGAGAATTAAAAAAGCATGCAACAGAATCTCTCAAAATTCAACAATGAAATTATCTATTATCAATGATTGGTTAATTCATCACCTAGCTTCTTTCAATGCATTATTGCAACCATTCACTTTAAATCTAATATTGCTGTACATTATATAAATGTACTATATTGTACTGAACTGCACTGTGCTGCATTGAACTGTACTGTACTGCACTGTACTGTACTGTACTGTACTGTACTGTACTGTACTGTACTGTACTGTACTGTACTGTACTGAAATGTGAAAAGATAAAAAATAAACCTGTGATTTAATGCTGCAGCTGTGACACTGAACATACCAATATTCGCTCCAACATCTAAAATAATAGTTTAACAGTTTTAGGGGCCTACGGGGGCAAGGTGTGGCTGAACCGCCCCCCCCCTCCTGAACAGCTTTTGAAGTGTGGATAACAGATGAGAATAAATCTTAACTAGAGATTCTGTAACTATGATATACAAGGTTAACTACAAAGGATGAGACTTCAAAGACATCTGTTCACGGGTAGCCGTAGTACATTTGAATTTCCGAGCCGGGTCAACCTTTCCGGTCCCAGTTTTTACTGTACTTAGCTCTATGGACAGGACTAGTCGGTGCAACAAGGTTNCGCGTCTGCTTCATATAGGTTGAATTTACTTTTACTAAAGCGGCAGAGGTGCCTTTGTACGGAATTAACACGCTGTCTGTTTCCTTGTATTTCAGGGGAAGAAAGTTCCAAACCGTGCAAAGGTCTATTTTAATTCATTATCTTAGTCAATTTAAATTGAGAAGAAGAAACCGTCTGCTTACTTTAATTTAGAATAGTTAAAGCTACAATTTAAAAAAAGATTAGATACTAAACCCATACAGATAAATAAATTACAATTTTTTATAAGCATTGATTTCATTTTAGAATATATATCACATTTTGAGGCAAAAGCAAAGTTTGGGCGCAAAACACGTTTTGGAACATTTCACAATTTTGAGACATTTAACAGATTTAAATTAATGATATTTTCAAGTATTTACACAATTTGGTAACAAAAGTTTTTTTTTTATGCTGTAGATACATTTTTCATTTCGGTCAAAGGCTGCAAGTTTTAATCTGTAACAGTACATTCGGTTCGTTTTTTTTCAATTCGTTCGTTCATTGGTTGTCAATGACCCATTTCGTTTGTTTTCAGTCATTTTCGAAAAATCGTTTGTTCAGTAAAATCGATGGTTTTCTAAAAGTTTGCTAAAAAAATTGTTTGTTCAGTAAAAGAATAATTTATTTCAAACTCCTTTGAATGAGAAGGTGTTTAAAAAATCAAACACATCAAACTTTTTTAAAATTATCGGATTTGGTCAACCCTGTTCTAAATAAATGCTCTTTGTCTTTGAGAGAAAAAAAGTATGCAATGTTTTTTTAAACACCCTTTGGAAATCGTTCTCTAACGGTCTGACTGGTCCATAAAATGCGAAGGATTGTTATCAATTTTAAATCGTTTGTTTTTGACTTTTTCGTTAGTTTTAAAAAGCTATCGTTTTTTTATTTTCTCTGAGAATTGTTAGTTTCTCGTGCGTCTATTTTTTTGAACAACATCATCATTTATCGTTCAAGAAAATTCATTCATTTTGAAATTTTTCATTCACAAAAGCGATGCCTTCCACTATAAAAGTAATTAAACTATAGATATTGATTTTAATTGAGGTAATTAGTCCAAAGCAAAAGTTTTATCTTCACACCGAATATCTATATTAAATGCAGATGAACATTTTTTCATTCCTACCTAGAAAAGTAGCGTTGGGATACTGAGCTAGCATATTCATTGCTAATTTTACCAAATCTCTCTCAAAGAAACCTAAACAAATTAAATCTAGAAAACTTTTCTAAATATGGTAGTTTATAAAAACAAAATATTTTGCTGATTTTTCCGTTAAAATTTGGACTTTAAAAATGATAAATATCGTCTTTATTTTTGGGCAACATTTTTCAATCTTGTTTAGCCTTTTCTGGAGTCAGAAAGACAAACAAACAAAGTGTGGAAAAGATTCTTTAAGCAATGACGAACTGTGCCGCAAAATGTTTCTGAAATTTTACTTTTTATCTTTAT